CCCCCGGCAGCAGCTCCGGCCCGGGGGCTCCTGCAGCGCCCGCCGCGGGAGCCCCAACTCGCTGTTCCCCAGCGCGCGGCCTGGGAAGCGCCGCGGAGCAGCGAGGCACAACCCGGTCTCCTCGGGCTTGCAAATGAGCCGCATTTTCGTGCAAATCAGGATGCCCTCCTTTCCCACCACTCCCATCCTCCCCCTTCTTTTCTTCTCTTTTTCTCTCTCTTTTTTTTCTTCTTGCTCTCACTCCCACTTTATTAATGACCCAAGAGCCGCATGTTAATTGGCTGCAACGTGTCTTTTCTCTGTGGTGCTTTCCCTTCCAGATACACTTCTCCCCCTCCCAGTTCCAGACAATAACGGCAGCTAAATCTGCCCTGCAATCTTACATATTGAATTTCAGTCTGTAACACACCTAATCCATTCTTATTAGCGTCAATTCAGACTAGCTGCATGGAAAACAAAATCAAGTTACTTCTGTCTAATAAAGAACCTGTTATTCATCAAGTGGAACTTATGCAGAGATGAAACGGTACGAGTTTGAGATGTACAGTAGATCTTCATACTTAAAAAGAAATTGTACAGAGGTACACATCCACCCTTCTTAGAAAGGAGCCACGATTTTGCAGAAGTTGACGAGAAAAAGCTAAGCACCAAGTCCCTGTGCTCAGCAGGCCCTGCCCTGCACACGCTGTTGGGGCTCGGGAAGCCCTCCCCTCCCAAGCAAACGCAGGAGGCGCCCTCGGGGTAACAAGGACAAGGATTTTTCCTCGGGACCGAGACGAGGGCCAGCAGCGGGGTCTGACTGCCCTCCAAGCTGCGGCACCTCCAGCCTCGGGAGCGCGTGCGGGCGAACAGCAGTGGATGCTCACTGAAACGCTCCAAGTTCCCGCAATCCGCTGAGCCTCAGCACCGCGCACGACAGAAACACGTGCAGTTCCTCCACGCCCTGTGTGAGCACCGCACTTAGTGGTATTTTGCAAGTATTTTGCAGATCCCGGGATTGCGCAGTTACAAAGGTTGCCTTCCTTTGTGTAAATTCCCAGCAGTTTTGCTTCCAGCCGAAAGGCACGCCCTCTTCCCAAACAAACCCGGCCATTCCCATACCGCAAAGGCCCCTGCCTATAGCAAGAGCCACGGCTGATCAGGGCGGCGCCTCGCACAGAACAAACCTGCACAGGTGAAGGGCAGACTACACTGACCAGTGCTACCAAACATAAAGCTTTTTACACAATGCCTGCCTGGTTATTTTTAAAACAATCCACCTACCTGCACTTACTTTACTTGCACTAAACTGCAAGGAGGAAAAAAAAAAGGCAGCTCGAGAAAGAATGTGTATATATATATATATATTTAACACAATTCCATATTTCTAGAACATATCTTTCAGAGATGCTACTCCTAAAGTCATAGCTGAGAAAAAGGCAGCCTGGCGGTGGGTGTTCTTGGTTGTGTTTTTTTTTTTTTTTCTTTGAATTGTTTTGTTTTTAAGGAGTGCAGCATATTTTGAAGTGTGCAGCAAATTTACACACAAACTTTCAGGTGATACAGTCAAACTTTCACCTCCCAAAGAAACACTCTGAGTAAGGAACTGGAACCATCTTCCGTGCCAGCATCAATGTTGCTTGAGTCGTTACCAGTCCTTGGGAAAACTTGCTCCATTTAATGACTTGTGATGCTTAACACCCCACTCCGCTTGGCAATAGTATCCTCTTTAGAATTTTGCCCATATCCACGTTTTATTAATACTGTTTTTAGACATCTACTTGCTGGACGCACTAGGGAGGCAAGCCTAGAACCACTCTGTTTTGCAGCACTGCCATCAGGGAGCAAGCACAAGGGGATGTGCAAGTGAGATGCACGTTGTTTAACACAGATAACACAGTAACACACAGATGCCAACCTTGAGGGCAGGGCTCACAAACCCCCAGAATTCAGGACTTCTTTCTCACTTCGGGATCCCCCATGTATTGACACGATTCTCCAGTATGGAGACAGTTATTCCAAACTAGTATCAAACAATCTGCCTGTCTTTCCAGCATTCCCTTCTGCTCTCGCCTCTCTCACCAGGGGATGGCAGGGGGCAGCATTCCCTTCTGCCTCTCTCACCAGGGGATGGCAGGGGGATGGCTCAAAGAAAACCCCAGTTGGCTTCTGCATGTGTGTTTCTCAGAGCCTGCACTAACTCAGTAAGAACCAAAACTCCTCCCTACTAGAGGGAAGTTCAGCAGCTCCTGCAAAATTCAGTAGGTCATCTCAATCCACTTCCCACATCACACAAAACAAAGAATTTCCATCCACTTTCATGTTAGCTCTCTTAGGACTGAAATAAGCTTGAGATAAATCCACTTCTCCACAGATAGTGTCTCCAGATGGAGAAATCTTCTGTCACTACCCACCAGCTAAATGACTTTAGCCATTCAGCAAACTTCTGATTTTATCTTTTACAGGTAAGATGCCTAGAGCCTCCGTTTCTACATCCTCAAAAAAAAAAAAAAAAAAAAAAAAAAAAGAATTGTACCAATTTGCTGCCTCACACAGACACTATTGCAAAGAACACAGAAAATACTGAGATGCTGCCAGCACATGCTCATTCTGACTTCACATGCTGATTTTCTGACTTCTTACTGGATGGGATTGTTGAGTAAAAATGTTTTGCCCCCAAACAATCTCCTTCTTGACTAGCAACGAAACAGAGCCTGAAACAAGAGGTACAAGATGCAATGACAAAGACTCTGCTCACAGACACAGATTTAGGAGATGGTATCATTAGCAAAACTGTGTCTGTCTTTCACTTAGTTTTACAACAGCTTTTAATCCCCAATTAGTTAAACTGTTCTTTCTCCTTTTCCCTGACAAATTTACTTTCACTGGTTTTATTTCAAGCTGCACAGGCGGCATTTTAGCTCCTAGTAAAGCCCCTGTACCTCCTTGACAGGCGGAGGAGAATGGGAATGAGTGATGCCCTGCATATGGACTGCTTGGAACATCACAGCCGTTCCCCCGCTCCTCTCCTTTCCAGCTGACCTGCTCCAGGGCAGCCATCTGGGACAGCCACCCCCTGATATCCACAGCAGCACAAAACAGCGGCGCCTGGGCAGCCCTCTGGTGATATTCACCCTCCACGGGAATATTTCAAGCTGGCTACTGGGGTGGTAATTCCTCTGCTCGAACCTATTCACCGCCTAATGACCAGAACGTCTCCCCTGCGCTGCCGATCTGCTGTCCTGAAAGTTTCTACTGAGCTTCTTAAAACCCAGTGTGGAAAACGCATGCACTGAGGCTGGCCATAAACACGCACTGCCAGCGCGCCGAGCAGCAGCAGCGCCTGTGGCAACTGTACAACAAGGTACAAAACACTCTGCAATTAATGTATCTCTGAACAGATGTTTTCCCTCAATACTACAGCCTATGGAGATTTTTTAATACAGATCCAAAAAGTATTAAGGCAAAAAAAAAAAAAAAAAAAAGAGAGAGAGAGAGAATGCAATAACAGCAGGATGCAATAACAATTCCTCTGCCCCACACAAATCAACAGGAATTTTAATGTTTATTTTCATGGAGAAAAGATAAGTCCATGAGCTAAGTTCACACAATGAATGATGCAAATTCAGATAATACAAAACCCCTCCATACAGCAAGGCATTAGTGATGCTTGTGATGAGTAAATGGAAATACGTACAACTCAACTGGAAATTGCAGTGCAAGACAGATTCCAGTGAGTCTCCATTTAATAAGCTAAAAGGAAAACAATTTTGGAAATAAGATGCATTCAAACCACTCAAGTTAAACTGCAAGACGGATTCCAGTGAGTCTCCATTTAATAAACTAAAAGGAAAACAACAATTTTGGAAACAAGATGCATTCAAACCACTCAAGTTAAATCAGCTTGCTTTTTGGAGACAGCCATCCCTAGCTCAAAACTAAGTTTCACGTGTGCCATTCCCCAGCAGCTCCCGGGACAAGGCAACAGGGAGATGCTGCTGGCAGGGCACTTGCTTGCAGCTTGGCACACACCATCCTCAGGGTTGCTCTCCCAGTCACCTCACATCCATCCCCTCCAAACAGCTGCTGTCGCCACAGGGCAGCAGCCATTAGGCCAAATAGCAGAACATCCTCCATCCCCTGGGCTGCGCAGATGCATCCGAGTATCTACAGCAAAAGCCTGATCCAGACTATGGCTAGGCCCTTTCTGTGGATTACACAGCTCTGGATCTTAAAAATACTATTGTAACTTCTGCTTGAGACTTTTGTTGTTAGGCAAAGAAATACTAAGCACCTGAGATAAGAACCCCCAAATGTGGCTGGGCCCAAGGTTTATTCCTCTTCCAGTCACCTTCAATCATGCCATCCACCATTTGCTACTGCTGAAATGGACTCAAGCTCCCTCTCCAATCTTGCAGACATCAGGAATAAATAATGTATGATTAGAAGGGATTCCTCCATTCTTTCAGGGCCCATCGTGTCTGGCCATCTCCTGGTATTTTTCAGGATAACAAAAGCTCTCCGGAGCCGCGATCCATCCCACTGCCCGCCTGCCTCCAGCCCAAGCCGCTCACAATGGCCTCTTTCAAGAG